AACCAGCTGTAGGTAGGATAGTCGGGCAGAGTAGGTTGGGCGCTGGGCGCCAGACAGAGAGGAGCGACTTTGGATACTGTGTTGGTGTGGCCTACGGGCTTGGACATTGGCTCATCATTTCATTGTATTTCTCTATATGGATGGTTTCTCGGTGCATTTCGTACTCTCTGCTTGGATACGACTACCTGGACATCTGTGTGATTTCGCAACTTCGTTTTCTGTATATCGTTAACACTCATATTCCTTGCAATAGCCTGTTCCTGCGCCCTGTCCCAATTCCTGAGGCCATAGTAATTTTACGGTCTCCTCACAAATCGTGCTCCTTGTCTTTCATCTTCATCGTTGTTTTCATCGTAATCATGGTGGGGTGATTGGGCTCTCTCTCTCTCTCTCTCTCTCTCTCTCTCTCTCTCTCTCTCTCTCTCTCTCTCTCTCTCTCTCTCCCTCACGCGTGCGCGCGCGTTCACACACAAAAACTCCAAAAAAAGCATGATTGTGCCAGACTGTTTCGTTGGACTTTCACCAACTCATCAGGAGGTTGAGCCCCAATAGTCTTCCCACGATGCATTTGCATGTGTGCGTGTATGTGCTTGTGTGTTTGTGTGTGTGCCTGCACGGGCAGGCAGGTGGGTGGGCGTCCGTGTGAGTGTGTGTTGTCGCTATACACTTCATCCGCGAGTGTTGCCTTGTTCACTATGTGCTGGAGGGAAAAGGGTCGAACCGCTCCGTTAATAGGGGACTGGCCCGTCTGGAACCAGTTTTTCTGCAGGCCTGGCAGCCCTAACTTCCGTTGGGCTGCGAACTTCTAATCTGGGGCGTTGGCCATCCAGTACCGGGCAGACGGCCCAGATCGTCCCGCAATCTTAAGATTTTAAGATCGCGTGACGATCTGAACCATCGGGCATGTAGGACTGCGGACAGCCTGGATCGCCGCGCGATCTTAACGTCTTGAGATCGGGTGACAGTCCGAACCGTCGAGCCGGTAGGACCACGGATGGCCTGGATTGCAGATTTCTCACGTTAGCGATTTTCATAAGTGTAGAGATCTGCGGGGCGGTTCTCATGCTGCTGGATCTAGGGATCAGGCGGTCTGTACCTTCCCTGGTCTTCAAGTCTTAGAAGCGGTGGGAGAACTTTTGGCCACCTGATTGTGAAGGCCACTCGAGTGAACAAGTAGAGTAAATCAGCAGGCTCGCTAGAGGCGCGCACGAAGCGTCTCTATCAATCCTCAGAGGCCATATGCCAGACGCACGGAAACTACGAATTGTGATGATAAGGAGATCAGGCAACACAAAAATGTCACGCAGATGATGCAGGAAAAAAGAAGGCGTGAATGATTATCGAGATTCCCAGTCCCTATCTACCATCCTGAGCAGGAAAAATTGGCAGGGAACGAAGACCTTGTTGAGCATGACTCTAGTTCGACTGTGTGTGATGACTTGAGAGTTGTAGAATGAGTGGGATCTTTGCAGGGCAAGTGAAAAAGAGGCCCCGCAGGGCGATCTGGTAGGCCTACCATATTCTGAATCTGGGGGAAAGGGGGGGTAGTTGTAGACCACCCGATCTCCAAATTTGTTGGCCTACAACCGCCACGCAAATCGGAGAAAGTCCTGGGTAATTCGGCCCGTAGTATCGGCCACATCTGGCTGGAAGGCGGCCCAGATTCATCCGCACTACCAGGCCGGCTCAGAGGGGGAAAAACTACAGGCTCGGAAGGCCCTAAATGTCAGCGGAGCTCGAAAAGTCCAGGACACCCGGCCTCATGATCAGGCGGCACACATTTTCCAAGACAAGGCAAGGCTTTGTACATTCTTCTAGAAGGCTCTAACAAGCCCTAAAAGTAGTTTATCCCAAAAGAATACAAAAACGGTACCTAGAAGATATCAGACGTTACCTCTGTAAGTCTACCTATCGGAGAGGGAGGTGAAGCCCCGCCCCCTCAACACCACCCACCTCACCCCCCGCTGCCTGTACTTCCGATAAATATATCAGGGAACA